CAAGATGTTTTCCATTTATTCCCCCAAATTTCACTGGGCAACATCCACTCTATTCATAAAGCACATTTTCTTTTACTTCATTTAACATTCATCTGGTGAAAAATACATTTATGTTCAGCATACTTGGCATGCCTACTTTATGCATACTTTCCATGATGATGGGCAGCCACCACTTCAGCACCCTAGTAACCAGGTCGGGGTACTGGGAAGGGAATGGGTTTTAAAAGCTCTTTTATTCAATACTATTCACATCTGTTTGTCTCTGACAGATGTAACAATTTGACACAGATCATTCATATGCAAAAGCTCTGTCACAGACAAAGATACTTGGCTGCCTATGGCATCTAATTGGTGGAAGCTACCAGAGGTTATAGAAGGTTATGAGATCCAAGTCTGGTTCATTTTGATACAGTTTAGTTGGTCACCACTGCCTATGTCATTACCCTTAAGACGCTTGCAGGACAGGCCAGAACCTCCAGTGGACAGAGAGCTCTACAAGCTCTGACCACTGCTCCATCTTAGACAGTTGTCCCTGGGGCCTTTCTTCACTTCTCAGGTTGTTGATATCAAAACTAGTGCTGACTTACTCATTGACCATAATGGGCAAGCCATGCCTGTGATTGCTACCTGGGGCCAAGCCTACTTACTGCCACTTGAAGAAAATTTGCATTGCTTTTGTTAGATATCCCCGGCCTGTGCTACAGCTCCCGCCTGTTGTGGGTAGCAGAGCTGCTATGGGTAGCAAAGGCATCCCAGCCTCCATCTGGAAAGGTTTTGTGCAAACACCTTGGAAATGTCTGCTCATAGTGATGCATTTTGTCTTCCCCCTCATGTGTTGAGATACAATTGACAATTTTGGTCTTGTGGTGGGGCTCACATAATGTGATAGAAGGCGCTTGGAAGGTCTTTCTAAAAGATGAGATGGAAATACGAGGGGAGTTCAAGTCAAACTGGGGATTTTGAGTTTATATAATAACAGAACAAATTTCAAGGGGTGGAAACTGCATCTATTTTTCGACATACTCCCCTGATATATTTATATACTTATCCCAGCATTTATCTAATGCCTGGAGAGCTTCAACATAGAAATATTTATCAGTATGCCTGAACCATCCTAGGAGTGCCTGCTTCACTTTGTCATCATTGTGTTCACCGTTCCCACAGAAAGATTTGTCTCTTTCACGACAGGTTATGCGTCGATTTTCCAGGATCAGACGTTCCACATGCTGAATGTTCACAGGAATGACTGTTGTGGGCTGGAAACCATCACTGCCAGGATTGTCACTGATGGATGTACGGCCATATTTGAAACATTTACACCATTCAAATGTCTTACTGCGGCTGAGCATCTCATTACCATACTATGCTTGAAGTCTTCTGCTGTTATCTGCAGTTTTTACACCTTCGACCACAAGAAACTTCATCACCACATGTTCCATGCACGCACTAAAACTGTTGTCTGCAATCTTGATTAATGCTCTCTGTACTGGCCTGTGACATGTGCTCTGCCTATCAGGAATAGGACACACTTGACACTTACTACTGTGTGTAGTACCACCATGCTAGCATCCCTTTTTATACCTGTAAAATTAAAAGTCCCGGTTTGACTTGAAGGCCCGTCGTGCCATAAAATGCCAAGTTTATTGTACAAGCTTTAAAAAACACAAAGTAGTGATCATAATCATGTAATATGCCCAGGTATAATTCACATCAGTACTGGGAACATTCCTGTTTTTACAAAGGAGGTCCACGTAAGAAGCTCCCATCCTGCTCTTGGATAATCAACAATTTCACATTCTATGGTGGTTGTATTAAAATGTCTTAAAGTGTAACTCCACTTTTGTTGTGAAAAAAACAGTCCTGGGTGATTGATGTACATTGCAATTTACCAAACTTTGTAGCAGATTCCTACCTTTTTCTACACTGAAGAAATATCTGTTTGTTTTACTATGTCCATTGTAGAGTCTGAATAGAACAGTCTGTATTCATTATAATGACCTTGTGCACTCTCATTGTTCTAATGTTCTAATAAGCTAGTGTTGGCATCCCTCTAGAAGTATTTAACCCTTGGGGAGCATCCTAACAAAACTGAAATTCCTATTGCAGGGGATGTCTAAATGTTAATCTTTATCTTAGTGCAGACTTCTGAGAAAATCAGTGAACAAATTACACAAGCAGGAAATTACACTTCTGGGGGGCATTCTGTATACCAAGGATGTACAGAATGCCTCCAGGTTGCCATATTGCATTGAATTTAACAGAAAATTACAGCGCTGCAGAATAAAAGGGAAAGGTACATTTTAATAAAATTAAATTATAACATGCCTTGTGCAGCAATTATACAGTGCATCCTGGAAAGTATTCACAGCACCAGAGGTGTGTGACTGAAGCAGGGAAACGCAGACCTCAGATATGTTATAAACAATATAATTTATTAACACTAACAGTACAAACATAAACGCAGTGCAATACTAAAACATAATACAGTGCAAACAAACCAAACCAAACCACCCACAGATAACAGTACATACAAGCAAGCGTCGTCAGGCAGGCCGGGTCAATATCAATTGGGCAGGTAGGTACAGGGGGAGCAAGCGGAGAATGGTCGGGGTCACAGGCCAGGTTCAGCAGGTAGCAAGCAGCATAGTACAGAGGGTCAGGCAGAGGGATGGTCCGGGTCACAAGCCAGGGATCAGAACAGGTAGCAAGCAGCGTAGTACAGAGGGTCAGACAGAGGGATGGTCAGGGTCACAAGCCAGGATCAGAGCAGGAGAAGTCAGCAAAGGAACAGAAACAGGATGCAGGACAGATACAGGGCCCAGGACAAACACAACACCAAGGCAGAGTCTGTGGGTCTGGCCATCCCTTAAATACCCCAGCATCATCAGTTACAGGTGTTAGCTGGCTGCAGAGTTGAGTCTCTGATTGCTGGGAACACCCGCTGGCCAGCCCTGGTACTGCAGATCAAAAGGCAGGTGAGTCCCCACCATTGCTGGCCAGTCCATTCCTAACAGTACCCCCCCCTCAAGGAGCGGCCTCAGGACGCTCCAAACAGTCCTAGCTGGGCAAAATGTTCCACCGCCCGGGTCTGGCAACTGGCGGGATATCAAAGACTGGCACACCGGGCAGGACTCCGGGCAGCGGCACACCGGGCTGGACTCCGGGCAGAGGCACATCGAGCAGAGGCACACCGGGCAGAGGCACACGGGCACACCGGGCAGAGGCACATCGGGCAGGACATCCGGGCAGAGGCACATCGGGCAGGACTCCGGGAGGCACATCGGGCAGGACTCCGGGCAGGCACATCGGGCAGGACTCCGGGCAGAGGCACATCGGGCAGGACTCGGGCAGAGGCTCCGGGCAGGCACATCGGGCAGGACTCCGGGCAGAGGCACATCGGGCAGGACTCCGGGCAGAGGCACATCGGGCAGGACTCCGGGCAGAGGCACATCGGGCAGGACTCCGGGCAGAGGCACATCGGATTACCAGGCGAAGCAGCAGGCAGCGGGCCACCAGGCGGGCAGCGGCAGGCACCGGGCCCCCGGGCGGAGCGGCAGGCACCGGGCCCCCGGGCGGGGCGGCAGGCACCGGGCCCCCGGGCGGGGGGCAGGCACCGGGCCCCCGGGCGGGGCGGCAGGCACCGGGCCCCCGGGCGGGGCAGCAGGCACCGGGCCCCCGGGCGGAGCAGCAGGCACCGGGCCCCCCGGGCGGAGCAGCAGGCACCGGGCCCCCGGGCGGGGCGACAGGCACCGGGCCCCCGGGCGGGGCGACAGGCACCGGGCCCCCGGGCGGGGCGACAGGCACCGGGCCCCCAGGCGGGGCGACAGGCACCGGCCCCCAGGCGGGGCGACAGGCACCGGCCCCCAGGCGGGGCGACAGGCACCGGCCCCCAGGCGGGGGCGACAGGCATCGGGCCCCCAGGGGGGCGACAGGCATCGGGCCCCCAGGCGGGGCGACAGGCATCGGCCCCCAGGCGGGGCGACAGGCATCGGCCCCAGGCGGGGCGACAGGCATCGGGCCCCCAGGCGGGGGCGACAGGCATCGCCGGCCCCCAGGCGGGGCGACAGGCGCCGGCCCCCCCAGGGGCGACAGGGCGGGCCCCCAGGCGGGGCGGGCGCCGGACCCCCAGGCGGAGCGCGACAGGTCTCGGGCCCCTCAGGCGGAGCGGCGGGCGCCGGACCCCCAGGCGGAGCGACAGGTCTCGGGCCCTCAGGCGGAGCGGCGGGCGCCGGACCCCCAGGCGGAGGGAGCGAGGCGAGCAGGTCTCGGCCCTCAGGCGGAGCGGCGGGCGCCGGACCCCCAGGCGGAGCGACAGGTCTCGGGCCCTCAGGCGGAGCGGCGGGCGCCGGACCCCCAGGCGGGAGCGACAGGTCTCGGGCCCTCAGCGGGCGGCGGGGGCGCCGGACCCCCAGGAGGAGCGACAGGTCTCGGGCCCTCAGGCGGAGCGGCGGGCGCCGGACCCCCAGGTGGAGCGACAGGTCTCGGGCCCTCAGGCGGAGCGGCGGGCCGGACCCCCAGGTGGAGCGACAGGTCTCGGGCCCTCAGGCGGAGCGGCGGGCGCCGGACCCCCGGACCCCCAGGAGGAGCGACAGGTCTCGGGCCCTCAAGCGGAGTGGCAGGTGCCGGACCCCCAGGCGGAGCGACAGGTCTCGGGCCCTCAGGCGGAGCGACAGGGTCGGGGCCCTCAGGCCCCCCCAGGCGGGGGGCGGGCCGGATCCCCAGGCGGAGCGGTGGGCGCTGGACCCCCAAGCGGAGCAACAGGTCTCGGGCCCCCAGGCGGAGCGGCGGGCACCGAGTCACCAGGCACGACAGTGGGCTCCGAGTCAACTGGTATGACCGCAGGCACTGGGTCAGACATTGTATGGTCTGGCTGGACAGCGGGCATCGGGTCACACCAGGCATCAGGTCATTTGGCTCGACAGCGGGCACCGCGTCATCTGGCAAGGCAGTGGGCTCCGAGTCAACTGGTATGACCGCGGGCACTGGGTCAGACATTGGATCGTCTGACCGGACAGCGGGCATCGGGTCACCAGGCATCAGGTCATTTGGCTCGACCAGGGCACCGCGTCATCTGGCAAGGCAGTGGGCTCCGAGTCAACTGGTATGACCGCGGGCACTGGGTCAGACATTGGATCGTCTGACTGGACAGCGGGCATCGGGTCACCAGGCATCAAGTCATTTGGCTCGACAGCGAGCACCGCGTCATCTGGCAAGGCAGTGGGCTCCGAGTCAACTGGCATGACCGCGGGCACTGGGGCAGACATTGAATCGTCTGGCTGGACAGCGGGCATCGGGTCACCAGGCATCAGGTCATTTGGCTCGACAGCGGGCACCGCGTCATCTGGCAAGGCAGTGGTCTCCGAGTCAACAGGCCCGACAGTGGGCACCGGGTCATCAGGTACCGGATTGTCTGGCTCGACAGCGGGCATCGGGTCATCAGGTATGACAGCGGACACTAGGTCACCAGGCATCAGGTCATTTGGCTTGCCAGCGGGCACGCGTCATCTGGCAAGGCAGTGGGCACCAAGTCACCAGGTACGACAGCGGGCTCTGAGTCAATTGGCACGACAGCGGGCACCGGATCAGGTACCGGATCATCTGGATCAACAGCGGGCATCGAGTCAACTGGCCTAATAGGATCGTCAGGCTGGATCAGTTCATCATGCGGGCAGAGGTCGAGTAGAGGCTCAGGCCGAGTAGAGGCATAGGCCGAGTCAGGCTGGATCAGGCCGAGTAGAGGCATCAGGCCGAGTAGAGGCATCAGGCCGAGTAGAGGCATCAGGCCGAGTAGAGGCATCAGGCCGAGTAGAGGCCGAGTAGAGGCATCAGGCCGAGTAGAGGCATCATCAGTACAGGCTTCAGGCCGAGTAGAGGCTTCAGGCCGAGTAGAGGCATCAGGCCGAGTAGAGGCTTCAGGCCGAGTAGAGGCTTCAGGCCGAGTACAGGCATCAGGCCGAGTCAGGCATCAGGCCGAGTAGAGGCTTCAGGCCGAGTAGAGGCTTCAGGCCGAGTAGAGGCTTCAGGCCGAGTAGAGGCTTCAGGCCGAGTAGAGGCTTCAGGCCGAGTAGAGGCTTCAGGCCGAGTAGAGGCATCAGGCTGCGTACAGGCATCAGTCTGAACCACGGAAGGCAGGTTCACCGGTTTGGGATACTGGCAGGATGGTATTGGTTGGAAAGAATTTTCGCTTTTTTCTGGTTTTAACTACTGGAGCACTGCAAGTAAACGCAGGTCTGCAAACGAATGGAGCAGCTGGAGACAGAGAAGAACTGGAGGATGGAACAGGAGAGGGAGCAGTTGCTACAGAGGGCTTTTTTACAGGGTTAAAGGCAGGATAGGTGCAGCGAGTGGGAACACAGGGTACTGACATGCGGTAGATAGCCAAGTATACTGGGCTGTAACTGGAGGAGCTGGTGGGAATACAGGAGTAGAGTTAGAAGCAGGACTGGGTCTTTGTAAGCTGACTGAGGCTGGGTGCAACAAATCTGTCCATGTCTGCAGTAGGGGTTGAACAAAGCTGAGCTTACACAAAGTCTGTCTGGTCAATGACTGCACTGCGTTTATACAATCTCTTAGTGTCTGTGGTGAACATGTGGAATAACGCTCCAGAAAGTAACCCACATCATCCTCTAATAACCACACCAGGGACTCTACCTGGTCTGCACTAAATGGTGGCAAAAATTCATCCCTGCATTCGGGGGAACCAGATGAAACCAACTCTGCACAAACCTCAATCAATGGCTGCACCTCAGAGAACACTGTGCCCTGATCTACTAGAACATGAGCGAGCCGTATACATTCTAGCAATTCATCCCGGGTATACTCCTTCAGAGTTTGATAAGCATACTCCCTGTCATCAAACACTAGCAGATATAAATACTCAACCTCATCAAGATCCATCCTTCCCATCAACAAGCCAAGATGGCTTCCCTGTGCAGCCACTTCTGGTCAGGATTGGCCTTGGTGTAATGTCAGGGCTCCCAGGTATGACCAGAGGTGTGTGACTGAAGCAGGGAAACGCAGACCTCAGATATGTTATAAACAATATAATTTATTAACACTAACAGTACAAACATAAACGCAGTGCAATACTAAAACATAATACAGTGCAAACAAACCAAACCAAACCACCCACAGATAACAGTACATACAAGCAAGCGTCGTCAGGCAGGCCGGGTCAATATCAATTGGGCAGGTAGGTACAGGGGGAGCAAGCGGAGAATGGTCGGGGTCACAGGCCAGGTTCAGCAGGTAGCAAGCAGCATAGTACAGAGGGTCAGGCAGAGGGATGGTCCGGGTCACAAGCCAGGGATCAGAACAGGTAGCAAGCAGCGTAGTACAGAGGGTCAGACAGAGGGATGGTCAGGGTCACAAGCCAGGATCAGAGCAGGAGAAGTCAGCAAAGGAACAGAAACAGGATGCAGGACAGATACAGGGCCCAGGACAAACACAACACCAAGGCAGAGTCTGTGGGTCTGGCCATCCCTTAAATACCCCAGCATCATCAGTTACAGGTGTTAGTTCATCTTTCCTTCAATCCTTACTAGTCTCCCAGTTCCTGCCGCTGAAAAACATCCCCACAGCATGATGCTGCCACCACCATGCTTCACTGTAGGGATGGTATTGGCCAGGTGGTGAGCGGTGCCTGGTTTTCTCCAGACATGATGCTTGGCATTCAGGCCAAATAGTTCAATATTTGTTTCATCAGACCAGAGAGTTTTGTTTCTCATGGTCTGAGAGTCCCTCAGGTACCTTTTGGCAAACTCTAGGTGGGCTGCCATTTGCCTTTGACTGAGGAGTGGCTTCCATCTGACCACTCTACCATACAGGCCTGATTGCTGGACTGCTGCAGAGATTGTTTTTCTGGAAGGTCCTCCTCTCTCCACAGACACCTTCTGGAGCACTTTCAGAGTGATCATTGGGTTCTTGGTTACCTCCTTGGCTAAGGCCTTTTCTCCCTCGATCGCTCATTTTGGCTGAGCAGCCCGCTCTAGGAAGATTCCTGGTGGCTCCAAATGTCTTCCATTTTACGGATGATGGAGGCCACTGTGCTCATTGGGACCTTCAATGCTTCAGAAATTTTTCTGTACCCTTCCCCAGATCTGTGCCTTGATACAATCCTGTCTCGGAGGTCTACGGACAATTCCTTGGACTTCATGGTTTGGTTTGTGCTCTGACATGCACTGTTAACTGTGGCCTTTCCTAATCATGTCCAATCAACTGAATTTGCCACAGGTAGACTTCAATCAAGTTGTGGAAACATCTCAAGGATGATCAGTGGGAAAGGATGCTCAATTTTGAGTATCATGGCAAAAGCTGTGAATACTTATGTACGGTCATGTGTTTTTTTTACATTTTTTATAAATTGCAAAGATTTCAAAACAAACTTATTTCACGTTGTCATTATGGGGTATTGTTTGTAGACTGTTGAGGAAAAAAATTAATTTAATCCATTTTGGAATAAGGCTGTAACATAATAAAATGTGGCAAAAGTTAAACACTGTGAATAAATTCTGGACTCACTGTATATGCTATATTATTTTATCTTTTCAATTTTTTTTTATTAACTTTTTCAAGAAAAAACAATTACATTGACATAGGTAGGTCCAGGCAGAAAATATACGTAGCCATTAAACAATAACATATCTTGCACCATGGCATCACCACGCCTAGAGGCCAGGTAGAATAGATGAAATACAGCCTTTGGCTTTATGGTTGCATATATAAGAGAGTACATCTGAGTCAGCAAAACTTGTAACCAACAGATTACATGGCCCTTAGGGCAATTAGTGCCCACATAGTGCTCACTATAGATAGAAGTGGCTCAAAGAAGGTGGGGGGAAGAAAAAAAAAAAGAAAAAACAGGAAAAAAAAAAGAAACAGAGAAGGCAAGATCAGAGCATAGATGCAGCAATAACCAAATAAACACACTATGGTATATAAAGCAGTATACTCATACATTCATATCATGGGGCATAAACATTCTTAACCAGCTAGACCATTTTAGGTCAAATTTCCCCACATTTTGACATTGAAGAGCCACCGCTTTTTCACAAATGTAATTCAAATTAACTTTATGAGTTACTTCTAGGATGGTGGGAATCCTCGCTGATTTCCAGGCAGCAGTGATAGACATTCTAGCAGCGATAAGTATATGGACAACAATTGTTCTATACTGGGTAGGAAATAGGTGCAAAGTTATATTGAGGAGTGCTATATGAGGCGCCAGGCTAGTTATCATGCCAGAAACCCGTGAGATAAGTGCAAAGATTTCCTGGCAAAAATTTTGTAAGTAGGGGCATCCCCACAGAATATGGAGTAGATTACCTTCCTCCCCACAGTTCCTCCAGCATAGGGTTGACACATTGGGATACATTTTAGCGAGGTTATAAGGGGTAAGGTAGCTACGATAAAGAATTTTTAAAGATCAGTTCCAACGATTTGTGCATTTAGTGATACTTAAATATTGCCCAAGGCAGCCTCCAATTCATCCTTCGTGAAAGACCTTTTAAGATCTGCTTCCCAGCTTCTTATGGTACGGGGAATACTGAGATCATTATCGTAATGTAGATAATTATAGAACCATGAAATCCCCTTTTTTAATCTAACAGGATTAGTCATGGCATGCCATAGTTTGGAGTCAATGTCAACCCATGTCTTTGGATTCAACCTATGATATCCTCTAAGCTGTAGAAGGGAGTGCAGACCTCTACTTGGGGTAACATTCCCTATTTCAATAAAAGTTTTGTATCCCAAATCTTGTAAAGGCCTAGTGTTGAGGTTATCAATTTGGATCTTAGGAGAAGAGGTGTTTAATTTATTGGTGCCAAATAACCATGCCTCAAGAGACGCAGAAATAGATGGAGGAAATGTTTTGAGAAGATCTATATTGGCAGATTTAGCCAAGGCTAAAGCCCAAAGATCTCCATTAGAGATTACTGATTTCTCAATTTGTACCCATAATTTGTCTGATGGGGTGAACCATTCCGGGAGTTGGTCCAAAATAGAGGCATAGTAATATCTAGAAAGCACTGGAAGACCGATCCCCCCTTTAGACTTATGTTTAGTAAGGGACAGGAAAGAAATTCTCGATTTCCTCCCCTGCCAAATATATTTCCTAATAGCCACCTCCAGTTTATTAAAGTAAGCACGGGGAAAAGATAATGGGGGATGATAATTGGAATAATTCAAAAATAGTATAGAATTTTAGGAAGAATCAGCATCTTAAAGGCTGCTCTTCTGCCTATCCAAGATGTTTCAATTTTATCAAGTCACTGTAACTCCACCAAAACGGACTTATATAGCTTTTCAAAATTGTCTTTAAAGGTATTGGAACCTGGAGACGATATATATATACCAAGGTAGTCAAGTTTATTCTGTGTCCAGCTGTAGGGGAATTTAGCTCAAAAGATTTAAAAGATTCTTCATTATAGCTTTCGGTAGGGCAGATGATTTTGTAATATTGAGTTTGTAATAAGAAATCGCACTGAAAGCTTGTAAGGAGGATGAAATCTCTGTAAGAGATTTTGCAGGAT